AAAACAGACTAAAGACCCCATCATGTTTTACAAGACTGTTGACAATAGGATACAACACAACAAGCACCAACTGTGTCATAGGTCGACAACAGCTGAAAAGCTTGTAAGACGTAGAGCTTTCTTAACCATCGGGTTATTTAAAAAAAATGCGAAATTGAGTGACAGCTTATTCTTTAACTGTCTTATCTGAAAGTTTCAAGGACTGGGCAACGAAAGGGCAACATGATGATGTTGGTTAATAAGGTAGAGACCGAACAGACATTTTTCTTGTTAGACCGAGAGAAAGATGTCATCAGGAAAGTTTAAGCATCTCCTAAGTGCCTGACAAGGAAGACAAGGAAAGCAGCTAACGCCCAAGTCTACTTTTACCCTTTCAGAATACACATCCTGGAGTTGGTTGGTTTGTAAATACTTTTTCGAAAACTATCACCAACATTATATGATTGTGATGAGTGTAAAAATCCGGAGAGTTTGACGGAGTTGGCCTTAATGCCACTGAGGAATTCATTATCCCGGCTAGGAGAAAACCGGTATCAAAGCCCAGAGTCACGCTGGTCGGATTTGGGTAACATTTCTCACGTGATTGTAATGTACTCCTAGTGGTAACAAATTTATTTATTTATTTTTAAGATGGGTGGAAAAAATTCATTTTATGAAGTCTAATTTTCATGATAAATCTGAAAAGTATGTTTAGATGTAAATGACATTTTTTCTTGAGGAAACACAGTCACAGATATTATTACGAATACTCCTCTTCAGTGTGAATTTTATCTTGTTGAGCATGGGGGAATGTCACGGGTGTTGACATAATCCATTTTGAGTGTATATTTCCATCAATTTCACTTTCAGCTTCAATTAATATATAATTTTTGTATTCCAAAGAATGTCTCAATTTCAATGTGCAGTAAACATTTGTTTGTGTTGATTATGTTTCATAATCAAAGAGTTTTGTTTTATCCCTCTTAACATTCATTATTAAGATAAAATCATAAATTTACATCAGCACCAGAAATATATATGTATATATGTAGCAGTTTCGAATTAATTTTGAATATCATTTAGTATTATACCTTCAATTTCATTAAAAAAGAAATCGGGTAAACTGAGTTTATACCTTTATTTTCAGACATTTTGAGTCTATAACTTTAAATTATTTTCGGTATAAACCTTAAATTTTCAATTGAAGTAGCACCTTAAGTTGCTAGCTAAACACAAACATATACATAGACTTATTTCAGTCTCAGAATTGAATTTTGAACATAATGTTTTACAACAGAAAATACTTTTCTATTAACCAAAAGTTACACCTGTTACAAAAATATGTTATCTCACCTTCAATTCTGACTGAATAAAACAAAATAAAATTTGTTCTGTTTTTAATAATAAGGATCCTGCAGTCATCATACAGCAGGTTGATAAAATGTCAGTAGCCATTTTCCTGCCGACAAGGGAGCATATCATGGGTCGAGTTATTTCTTAAATGCTCATTTTTGCCGTGCGCTGTTTGTCAATATGACGATGAAAAATAACTTTAAGTCCGCACATGCGTTAATTGTCATTTGTTTTAATCATCTGTTTTGGTATTGTATTGGATTCGGATGATTCCGTAACGTATGCTTTTTAGCCGAATTTCACGGATACGTCCGACATAATTCAACTATGTTTGTATCTCGAACTCTTTTTTTACCGTTTTTGTATGTCCAACCGTCTTATACTTTGTATTGAAGGGATTGGAGAGACAGATTTACATTGTTTTTTTTTAACATTTTCTTTCTTCCAGTCTCAAGGGACCTTTCCTTCTTCGCAGCACTAAGTCTATATCTGTCACAAGTTTCTAGTTGCATAAAACTTTATCTTTTACTAAATAAAATCTTCTGTGATAAATACCTTATTATTCAGTTTATTTTATTATCTTTTTGACGCTGTGGTAAGATTCTTGTGATTTAAATCGTTTATCTGCAATAATTCTTGTTTACATCGCTAAATTGTAAGTTGTTATGTTGTTATGTTGTGTTTTATGAATTTTAATCAACTAATTTTATAGGTATGTATTATGTATGTTAAAGCTAATATATTTGTTTCCTTTTTAAATTTCTTCTTAAAAATCTATTAAATTGATGAACTAACGCCAGGTATTGTAGTAATTATTATACCCTATGACAGGACATAGTCCGATTAGAATGTCAAATTTGCAAGTTTTTAAATTATTTCTTTGTAATTGTAAAACGTAGGGAGTGCTGCACAATTTCTTTCCTAGTAGAAAATACTTACCAGTTTTTTACCAGTAAGCAAGTGTCATAGAGTATACATATTCATTACATTATACAGGTAAATGTTTATTTACCTATACTGACCTTTACTTCCAATAAACCATCCTAGATCATATCATTTTTAAATTAACACACGCACCCGGACACACACACGCACACACACGCACGTACAAAGAGAGAGAGAGAGAGAGAGAGAGAGAGAGAGAGAGAGAGAGAGAGAGAGAGAGAGAGAGAGAGAGAGAGAGAGAGAGAGAGAGAGAGAGAGAGAGAGAGAGAGAGAGAGAGAGAGAGAGAGAGAGAGAGAGAGAGAGAGAGAGAGAGAGAGAGAGAGAGAGAGAGAGAGAGAGAGAGAGAGAGAGAGAGAGAGAGAGAGAGAGAGAGAGAGAGAGAGAGAGAGAGAGAGAGAGAGAGAGAGAGAGAGAGAGAGAGAGAGAGAGAGAGAGAGAGAGAGAGAGAGAGAGAGAGAGAGAGAGAGAGAGAGAGAGAGAGAGAGAGAGAGAGAGAGAGAGAGAGAGAGAGAGAAGAGAGAGAGAGAGAGAGAGAGAGAGAGAGAGAGAGAGAGAGAGAGAGAGAGAGAGAGAGAGAGAGAGAGAGAGAAGAGAGAGAGAGAGAGAGAGAGAGAGAGAGAGCAAATTGTATTTCTCTTAAAATTATACTGGGTTTCATATGCCGTTGTTGTTATCATATACTTCTTTTCGCTAAATTCGATTTACTTTTGCACGCGTCAATAAGCAATCATAGCTCATTTCTTACCCGAGATATTTTTAGTCAGACTTGAGGCCAATCGCCGCCGGGACAGTAGTGTCAATGTTTTCCATAGGTGATCCGAGTAAAAGGACACGACCGAAGAAACAAGTTCAAATAATTGAAGATAAGTCATTAAAGATATGATGTGTTGCAACTCTCGTTAAGTTTCAAGTTTCTATAAAAAGGCGAAACACTAGGTAGAAGTGTAGCTAAACTGACATAACATCTGTGACTGTAACATAATATAAAATCATAGAATAAGCAGTGTATTCAAGCAGAAAATTGCCCAGTAGATATCGTAAAAAACAGGAAATAATGTTTTTTTTTTGTTTTGTTTTTTTTTTGTTAGTGTGAAACTGTCAAATCTACAATACAAATATGTATTGACAAAACGGTATACTTTGTCTCCTTATATAGTGTTTTACAAAGACTAGTGTAACTACCAACTAAAATCTAATCGAATGCAAACATACATTATTGAACCACCGTTTCGTATTAGTCAAGAAATCGTAACAAGAAAGTTTACTTTTTCACCTGTAGAACGTTTGACCAGTGTTTCTACAAGATACAAATCGTACGGTGATTTCCTCCAAACATGTCCGTTTGAGTTGGTTAAGCATCCAAGTATAAGCAGATTAAACAACAAGTAGTCGACACCTTCTTCAACCTGATTTGAAAATATATTGCAGCACATGCTTTATATCTGTTTTGAGAAATGTTTTCTATACTACCAACTATTGTTAATGATACATGTTTGTTCATATTTTCTTAACTCATTTCATTCCATGTGTTTTGTGTGTAACGAAAGAAATTAACTATATATATATTTTACCCCCGATTTTGAATTTATATAGACTTTTAACACTCCACTCACACATTTAAGACTGACATTCCAACGTAAAGTTAAATAACCCTTGCGAAAAACATGCTTATGTTTCTCTCAAGCAATAAGCTCTGGTGATATGCTTAAAGAAAGAAAAATGCCGGTCTAACTATTATGACCCTGTTTTGTATATTGAACTGGCAATTTAAAACATCAGACAAAAAAAACGCATACAAATCACCGAAAGGAAAAACGTAAAACTTTTACTTTTCTCAAGAATAGGCCAAAATAACCGAGGCACAACTTAGTCATGAACAATAGTTAACAACACTAAATAAAAAGTGAAAAAAATCACTTATGTGTAACTTGTGGAACAGTATCCTCTCAGATAATTTCAAGTAATATCAGAGCGATCAGTGATTCTTTCTGTTGCCTCATGATAACCGATTGCATGTTGCAACCTACTATGAAGCATAAGCCACAAAAATTGTAAAAGGGAAAATATGTTTTTTAAGGGCCATGAAAATCATCCAACCAGAAGACCCGTGTAATATGTGCGAGTACTTGAGCTTCAATCAATCCTGTAAAGTTTCATTGAAATTGAATAAGTGGTGTAAGAGTAGGAGTCCAGACAAACTTTAAAAATAAGAAATCATTAAAGGGCCTTAGCTCAGACAAAACTCATAAACCAGAAATTGCCGATGATGTGCACAACATTGCTTGGTATTCATCATTCCTGCAAAGTTTGGATGAAATCGCACCAGTAGTTTCTGATGAGTAATCCAGACAAAATTCCATTTGCTGGCAAAACACATAAAAATGAGCTTCCCGTAAAGTTTCATTGAAATTGCATAGGTGATATAAGACGACTAGTTCGGAAAATCGATTTAAGGCCAAAAATAATTGAACTGGATGTTATACACAACTAGACTAGGTACTGATCATTCTTGTAAAGATTTGATAAAATGGCACACGTACCTTTTTAGGAGAAGTCCGGACAAGTTTTGTGACAAACAGTCAAACAGACAGACGACGGAGAGGTGATTTCTATATTTACTTTATTTAGTGGCGACACAAAATGGAGATTGAATTATGATTTCGTATGAATTATGAATTCGTATAAACTATACTTAATAAAATGGATAACAAAGTTTATAAATGTTGTACGGAATTTGTCGAACAAAAATGTATGATGCTATTTCTTACATAGCTCCAGCAGATTTATTCTTAACTATAAATGTAGTAAAATCCAAATACGGTTATGGGCAAAAGAAACACAGCAGAATATCAATAGAGTGTTAATGCCATCACAATTAAGAATTTGTTTAACACTTACCTAATGAGGACTTTAGAATGTGAAATGAAAAATGACCTTATTAGGAGCACACACATGTGTTGATTAGCGAGTAAATGTTAATTATGTGTTACCTTGGACACTGTGGTATGTTAAAATAAACATAATGCACCAGAAAGATCAGATCATCTGTATTGTTGTTTAAATACTCACTACAGTTACTACAGTTTTCGAAACAATTGGTGATAATTGTAAACATACTGCAAAACTGTATTTCAAATATATAATTTTCAGACATTTGAGAGATAAAAATTGTGCATGACACTGATTGAACCTAGACAATTAGTATCGACTAAGCAAACAGAAAATATTACAGTACTATATTTTTATTGTGGTATTAATATACCTACTGTTACATTTTGAAAAGTTTGAATCTATAAAAGTTGCCTTTTCGATTTAATAGTTATTATATATTAAAGTACAACACAAACGATATCACTGACTGGTCATTTTAAATAAATAGAGTTATTAATGTACATGCTGCTAGTAAATCATTTGTTACATCGTTATGGAACAGACGTGGTTTGTTATATCCTGGCTTTTGTGTTTGATCTAAAAGACGTCCAACAACGTTATCGCCACAAACTTGCCGTTCATGCAATGGGATGCTTAAACTTAGTACTTCTTTAGAGTTCATCTTTTCTTGTAATTCTCGTTCTCGACGCTTTTTATACAACGTTTTTCCGTCTCCGCTCCTCCAAGATCTAACAAAACGGACGTTTGACCTAAAAAATAAATTTATTATCTTGTTGCTTTATAGACACATGGAAATTAAGTATTCGAGAAAAAAGTTTGGCAATGAAATGTTTGATGATTGTTTGATTTGAAACCCGAATAGCTAATAACGCTACATATGGTGCCATACATGTATGTCGTGTATATCAAATTGCTACGACGACCAAAACGCTCACCTGATGACATATTTGTGAAAAGCAGTAAAAGCTTGACTAAGTGCTTACCACAAGAAATTGAACATTATTGGTCACTAGATTATAGTTTATGTAATATATCTCTTTTTTCAATTTCTACTTTATACATAGTCCTAATTTTTGATGAGGTTTAAAGTATAATGTCTCAGCAACCGTATGCGCTAACTCATTTCTTCCAGTTTGGTGTTCAATAAAAATATTGGTCCATTTACTTATCGCGGTGCTCGTTTTAGCCAATAAATTGCACAATTTTGCGTTACTTTTGCACAATTCCTACGTTATTTGCACATTCCTACGTTACTGGATATACAAGGTGCTATAGTGTAACGCTAACATAAGCGCGCTTTTACGAAATGATTGTATATTATGCAAATGATGTTACGTCAAAGTTTTATTATATTTGTATAATATCGTTTTTATAAAATGACCTTTTTACACCCCTGCGTCGTCCCGGTATATGTGATAATTATATCTTTTGATTGTTGTGAGATGAAATATAGGTAAAGACAAATTGGACAATTGTCGAACATGTTTTAAATTCAAATTTTTTTCTCTTTCTAACAATAAGAGGTATACTTTATCTTAATTTAAAAATGCAAGGGAAACTCATTGAAAGTTGCAATATGTTATCAAGTGTTATGAAAGGTATATTATTAAATTTAATACAAAATCTTAAATTATGTTAAAAGTTTACTTTTCGTAGTCTACAGGTACTGCTGCTGCTGCAAGGTCTGTTCCACTTTTATCTTTCAGATTCCTTGAGATGACTTTAGAAACATCTGATGTATCAAAGTTCATTCTTTCCGTTCGGTACTTTTCCAGAGAAGATATCAATGAAGAGGTGTGCTCGTTTTCAGAGCCACATATAATAACAAGTCTATAAGCTGCAATAGAAAACATGTTACTCATTGAAATTTTCAAATGTTATTCTTTTCTTTTTTTCAATTCTTTGAATCATTTTTTTACAATGAGATACAATGTATGAATATTTGCATTCAAGAAAATAAAAATAGTACTTTTGTTTTCTACATTCCGAATGTATTCCAGAAGATTTGCTTGCAATCCTTCACAAACAACAAACTCTAGTTTATCTGCTTCAACAAGGCAATGAATCTTTCCTCGAGAAAAAAAGACTGCTCTGCGTAAGAAAATGTCAACCTAATGAGAAAGAAAAAATGAATCAAAAGTTATAGTTTCTTTAAAACACCTATTCACTGTAAATGAAAAATATAAAATACAAAAAACTGAAAAAGTAAAGATCCTTCTTCAGCAATAAATCAGCCAATTATATGAAAACTGCGATATCGGTTCGATTGAGTCTGTTCATAGGAAATAATGTGAACGAGCAACATCTTTCATACCAACAAAGACACCATTAGAATGCAAGAATAGTGTTTTAATAGGAAGCATATATGACTTTTATAACAACTCAAAAAATTATGTTTTTGAGAAAAATGAGTTACAAAACATATTATTTTAACAGATAGAAAGATTACACAATCCAAATTTTATATATCTATTAAGCCGCACGCATCCGGTGAGTGGTATTAATGAAGGTTTTAACTTTTGTGTAACAATGTGTAGTATATATAACTAACTAGAAAGTGTCCCTAGTTCATTAGGATTGTGCAAATATTTGAATATGCAAATTCAATCATTTCTTGCATAAGGCATCAATTTTGTTTTGAAAGCGTTCTTTGTTCCAATTTTGTTATATGTTTTGGGTTTTTTGTTTCTGTTTTTTTGTGTGTGTTTTTTTAGATTAAACGTTTATTTTATTGTTTACTCATTTGAATGCGTGCATCTTAATTACATATCTTTAACATCAAAATACTTCTTCCAAAGAGGTTTGTGAAGTACACATTAAAACTTCGTCTGCATTTGGAAAGTTAATTTCTTCTGATTCTATATAGACAGACATTGTAGTTCTTAGAACTTGACCTGAAATATTTATGTAATTATCACTTAACATTTAGATTGAAATACAAAATGTTCTTTTTAGTCATCGATAAACACATTTAATATCAAAATTGCAGTGTAGCTTATGGATAAGACAATCTTTCATTGCATAATTGTTTGAAAACCTTTTTACTTTGATGCGTCATCAAATCGGGAAAAGGGAAACAATAATTAATTGAAAGTACATGAAAGTGTCAACTTCTGATGACGGAATATTCTATATTAATCAAACAAAAGATTTACAATTTATTATAATTCAGTATCGATAATATCAAATATACCTGTTGGGCAAATAACAAGATTTGGCTGATTTTCCTTGTAAACAGCTGGCATTTGTCTTTGAAAATTTGTTTCTCCTGTCAAGTGAAATTACAAATTAAGTTACATAAGCTCTTTACATCTCTCAGTTTATCTAATTACAAATGAAAATTATTAAGCTTAAGCTATCATTTTTATTATTATTATTTTATTTTGATGAATATTTATCAAATCAAGGGCCATCATGTGACAAAACAAGAGTTAATAAAACTCCTTACATCCACATTGACATACTGAACATGCGTCTGACAGAGATTGTATCTTTCCTTTTTTGTTGTAAAAATAAATATTTTATAACTCTTTGGAAAACTAGGACAAAAACAAGAATGTCAGATATAAAATGACATGCCATAATAATTTTCAAAACCTGACATATTCAGCATTGGCATTGTGATTCTTCATATGATCATGACTTGTAAGTGTATGATTCTCGAATGTCCATGAAATGTTTAAAAAATATATATATATATATTCGACATTAGATTTACTTGTATTTAACTTTTTAATCACAGATAGGGGAGCCAGATGAATCGCGTACTTTAAAACTACGCAATTTTGCGCGAGTTCACTAAACAAAATAATGTTGGCCTTATAGTTTTAAATCAACTGAAAGTATTAGAACAATCTCAAAAGAATGTTTTAATGTTCCAAGATATTAAAAATAACAAAAAATAATTTGTATTATAAACAATTATGTTTGGTATAATGATATCTTAATGTGACGCAAATGTACACTTTTATTTAGAAAGTAAGCAACATATTTCATCATTAAATGTATTTATAATTCAACCATTGTTTCATTTGTTTTATATTATGCCATATTTTTATAAATAGGATTAAAATTGATTGTGTTTGTATTGAATTTATTACACCGACATATGAAATAAGGATGTAACTTCATGAGCAATTCTTGTGTAACATAAAATCTACTTCCTAATCAATTTTAGTTTATTTCTTTTTGTTATATTTTGTGAATTCATTTCGATCTGATAAATGTGACAATATTGATGTATATTTTCATGTATCAAGCGATACATACCTTTTAAACCCAAAAGTCGCAGCAGCGTACCCAGTTTATGTAGACTGATATAATCTTTAAGGTTTGATTCAACAGATTCGATAAATTTGTTCCACACACCTTTAAATTTCTGCAGCATCTTGTCAAAGTCGTCAAAATCGCTGCAAAAGTCAAACTGTGTCATTGCAAAATATATTGCATTAATTTCAAAATTTTGATTTGTATATTAAATATATAGAGGATATTGAAAATGAATGTAAGTTAAATACTGAATTTATAGCACTAGTTGAATAAATTTATATCATGCGACCCTCTGGCGAGCATAATATTATTTTATTCAGCGAGTTCAATAAATTCAGTAACAACTTACACGAATTTAATATCACACACCAAAAATAAAGACCGTTTAAAATGGAAAAAGAGTCATTTTTTTCACTGACGCGTCTTTAGTATAACGCTTACATTTAGCGCGTATTTACACTGTTTGTATAACGCTAATGACGTCACGTCAAAATATATGCACGGCCGTGCAATACCATTTTTACGGAGTCGCAAAATCGGCATGGGTATGTGATAAATATATATATACATGTAACCATATTACTTTTATCCGATAAAATGTGACATGCATTTTAATATTATTTAATCATATTGGCATATTCGTGTTTGATGAAGATAGAATATAAAATACTATTTTATGCCTAGCAAACAGTATCCAAGCATTTCATCAATTGCAATATAAATAGCATGTGTTTATTGTTTTGGAATATCTATATGTCTTGGTTTAGACAACATGTTCACGATGTTATTATATTGCTTATCGAGAAATTACAAATAGGCAAGTCATAAGCATATGATTCAAATTCATTTTAAGGCAAATGAGCCTAAATCATTCTAGTTGCTTCTAACAGGACACTTGATTATTTCACTTAAGGTTTGTAATGTTCTTTTGCAACTCTGAATCCAATATTTTTCTATTTTAAGGATCAAGCACCGTTTAAGTAAATCAGCGTTATAAAAATAACTATTTTCATTTAATTTCATTTCACAAACATACTTTTTTTAAATGTTTCGATTTATATGTATTTATTTACTTGACATTTTTTCAATTTATTTAATAGCGCAAAGTGGACAGATATCGAGTTAACACTTATTCATCAGTTGACCTATCAGATAAGCTAGACAGATATAAACCTGCAAGGTATCAAAGGCTTTGTTCCTAGAGATATTGCCTTGTTTGGTATCATTTAATGTAACTAAAAGGGAAAGGGATAATATTCCTGAAACGAATGACGATTTTAATTGTAGTTAATTACCTGTCGTCGACAATTGCACTTTCAATATACTGTGCTACTGTCCAAACTTCGTCCGATTCTTCAGCTATGTCTTCATTTTCTTTCAAACTTAGTTTCATGCACCATAATATTGCTATTTTGAATATAATTATGTCTTTAAAATAGGCTATGTGAAAATTAAATATTGAATTTAGAAAGAATATTACTTTTTTCTATGAACGAATTGTATAAAGACGTTTGTAACAATTTAACATGATTTCGAAATTGTCAGTGTTAAGTACACATTAAACTAGATAAAATTTCAAATTCACGTCTGTCAATTTAAATAACGTGTCACCTATCTACCTATGATTAAAAACAAACATAAATGTGATATACTTCACGAATAACATTTGCATCATATCATATTTCACTTCAGGGGGAAATATTTAAAAGACACGAGTCAATTGTATAGTAAAAATATTTATGATAAATCCTACCATCATGTATATTGTATTCCGGAAAACGTTTCAATGCTCTTTGAATAATTTTTCCTGTAAATCCGATTTCCCTCAATCGTGAAATGAAAACTGATTTATCTTTGTTTTTTGTTTCGTCTGATTCTTTAGTGTTACTATTTTGTTTTTCATTGTTTTTCAAATCGTTTGTTTCCATTTCCTTCGTAACACATTGATAAGCTTCATCAATATCATCTGCAAATGATTAAAATGAATATTTGACAATAAATACTTAATTAAGTAGGATTTAAAAACATGCATAGAGGGAATAGTTTTTTTCTAATATTTTTTGGTAAAATGTATTGATTATATTTCTTACGAACAAAAAGATGAAAATGTTACGGTGAAATGAATTCGTCTGTTTTTTGCTGATACACTGTGTTGTGGCAACATGATATTTCAGAGATTTTAACATATAAAGATAGATTTTAAATTGAAGTTGTTTTGTATCACCTAGTCTATATGATTTATTTTCCAAATCGGCCTTACGCGTTTGAAACACAGCAGTGCCGTTTTACAATTACCTTTATTGCAGCCAGCCTTAACATATGCCAAGAGGGGAAACACGTTATCTGATATAGTTGCATTCACAATCAGATTAGCAATTTCCTTTTGTAAAAAAACCAGTTGATTCATTGTGAAGTAATTCAAATGTTCATGTTTCTTTCTTTTTTCATCAACAAATTCAATCCACTCTTTAAGACATATTTCCATTCCTTCTGAAAGTTTCGGCATGATGTCTTCTAATTTCTCGTCCGCTGTCTTCCGACACTTGCATTAAAAAAAATGAAAAAAAAAAAATGAAAAAAAAAAAACAGTTTGAATATTTTTGTTTTTAATTTGAAGTTTATTAAATTATTTTATCGTATCATTTTGTTTTTGAAGCCAGAAATAAATTAGATGAGAAAATGTTATACTTTGATGCGTTGTATTTTAAAAACTTCAAAAGTAGACGTTAAATTTGTAGCAGTTCTTAAAAATTAAACATAAACGATATTGTGTTGGGAAATCACGTGAGTTCACTTTAAAACGCTGAATTTCGTTGAATCTTCAGAAGAATAACATAATATATATGAATGAACAAATCACGCTGTCTCACCTTGAGCTGAGTAACATCTGTCTTATTCTTGAACTGCAAGATTGCCCATACAGGAGTTTCAAGATTAGGTTCGCAAAATGTCTCTATTGCAAAGTTTTCAAACAAAACACAACCCGATGAGACTAGTCTAATGTAAACTTCACTGAGTCTTATTACGCCTTCTATTATCTAAAATGAGAAAAGAAAAACAATATGAAATAATAATTTCATTACGGTGCTTGATAAGTAAAAATACTATCGTTCAACTTTTTGTGACACTCAAATGTTTCTTATATAATTAAATGAACACTTTAAACACTTGATATTGAATATGGTAATCGTGAAACGAAAATACGTTTAAATAGCTTGTTTATTTTATATGCAAAGAAGAAATTAAGTATAGTTTAATAGTATGTTCTGTAACTTTACAAAAATGAAAAGTAACATTCAACATTTTTAAGGCAAAATTGCAGAAACGCTCCTACGTTTGTAGTAATTATCTACTCCTGAAACTGTGGTTTGCTTATTTTTTTTTAAGTAAATAAATATAGAAGCAAGCAAAACATGATTTTTACGTTAAGTGTGTACTGTAATACTTTATTCCCAGTCATTGTGCAAATTTGCTAAACTTCTATGAAAGATATATTATTTCGTTATTACATTCTTTCCATCTCTGACCGACACTTTCTATTCTGGATAACCTTGATTTTAAGTTAGAATAATAATTGAAAATAAACCTAAAGAAAAATTTGAAGAAAAAAAACAGTAAGATGTTTGTATGGTTGGTATAACTAAAAAAAAGGCCGTGACTCCAAATTTCATTTGTACTCAATTATGATTTTTTTTATCATGAAACGTTTAAACAGAGCGCTCTTATTTATTGACGAGCCATAATTCAGCAAAACATCAAAAAACACGTGTAATATAGGTAATTACTTGAGCAACCAATCAATTCTGTAAAGTTTCGTTGTAGATGCAACACAAATATGTAGAAACTATATATAACGCTTTAAAGCCAACACTTTTTGTATCAAGAAAGAGCATTATGTCAATGCTGTTAATATTTTAATATCTAGAATACTAAATTAAAGGCTAATTGCCGACAACTGAGAAGTAAATTAATATTTCATTTGTTGTTTTTGTCCATTCTGGAAAAATTGGAAAATAGTCATGATGGACCCAGCTTAACTGAGATTCATGCAAGAAAAGGTAAAGCTGTGGCGATTGTGTTTTAATTTGTAAACTATAATTCAGACTGAATAAGAAAACGAATTATAAAGTAAATCCATTTTAAAATTTATTTTTTGTTTCATGATTTAATTTATATTCTTTTACAAGTATTATTACAAAACAAATTAAAATACGTTCATTATTTTATGATATTATAGGGGAACGTATCATTTATAAAAACGATATGTATTTGTTTCTCCAGCTCAATATTTTTAATATGGAGATGTCTGCTACGACGATTGTGACAAATAATATGTTGTTAAAGAACCACAAAAATACGCTTCATGCAACTACCTAAGCCCTAGGCATTGTACTTCTAAATCTAAGATTTTTTAAATATTTAACTATACTAGTCTATGAAAAATAAGCTACCCCAAAGGTGGGGCCATTTGTGAGCCATGTCTATATTAACAAAGTGACCCCTTGGGCAGGGTCAATTTTGACCCCAGGGGCATGATTTATATAAGTTCTTGGTACTGAACTTTCATCAACAGTACTTCCAACCTATTTTCAATACGAGTCCATTTTAACCAAGTGAACACTGGGGCTTGCCAATTTTGTACCCAAAAGTATATTTATTCAACTTTTGTATAAGACCAAAAGGTGATGCTACATGCCAAAATATCTAAGCTCTTTGCATCGTTTTATTCGGAGGAATGACTTTTAAGTTACTTTTTACAATAAAAGTGTAAATAAATTAAGTGACCCTCAAGGTGCACCCATTTTTGTCCCCACGGACATGATTTGTGTACTTTTGTATAGGTCCACTTACCAATGCAACAAGGCAAATATCAAAGCCGTTGTCATTGCAGTTTCCTAAAAGAAACCAAAAACGTATTTTCCTATATCAACTAAATGACCAATAGGGCGATTTATTTTTGACTCTAGGGACATGGTTTATGTATCAGTTGTAAAGGAACACACGAAAGTGCTACATGCAAAATATCTAAGCTCTGGACTCTGTACTTACTGACAATAAATATTTTTCACGATCTCATTTCTTAAGTCTAATTTTAGTTCCAGCTGTGATCGACTAAAACATGTATATAACTTTTGAAGAGAAAAACCGAAGGAACATTCCTGTATATAGTTTGGTCAAAAATCAATCCAGTGGATAAGGATTATGAAAAAACATTTAAAAAATGTTGACAACGACGAACGACGGGCACAATGCCATCATAAAAGCTCCCCTTTGAGATCTTTGTGTTCAGTAGAACTACAAACGAAAATTTAACGTTTAACTTAACATACCGCTGTAAACCTATCGACACTTTCATGTCCTTCTCTAGCTTCTCCGGCAACAAGCATCAGCTTACTTTGAAGATCCTCTAGTTGCTGAAAATTATACCCTGTACTTTCGTATGTATTGTTGGCAGGAATAGTCAATTTAATGACATCTGTCAAATCCTTTAATACAAAAGTATGTTTTTGTCGTCTTTACAAAATGTTATATTGAATAACTGAAATACAATAAGATATTATAATAACTATTTGCTGCAGGTATGTAAATCCGTATAATCATAGTTCCTCAAAGAAAAACACAACTTTGTGACTACCTCAACATAATTTTTAGGACAGTGACACGATGCAAGACAGCAAATGAATAAGCTATTTTTTTACGATATTTACAAATAGATGTTTCTATCCTTTTGTCATTAACTTCATTATTCAGAATACTATGATAACTTGAAATTTATACATGTTTTTAACGACATTATGTTATGAAATTATTATTAGCTCACCCATAAAAGGAAGGAATTATAGAGAGTTTAATAAAAAAAACTAGGACTTTTAATAAATTTGTACAAGTAATATCAATAGATTTGATATCAAATTAATGACATCAATGTCAAATTAAGTTTAAAATAAGTAACAACAAGCAATTATCATAGTACTACAAGCAATCCATAAGTCCTCTACCGGTTAGAAAAACAACATAACATTTATAGACAGGCAGACAGACGGAGAGACAGACAGACGGACGGAGGGTAAAAATAAAGTCCCCTCTGGTTAAACCGGAAGTGGATTAATAATCTTTTTGTGTGATTAAAAAAGAAACAATTATTTAAACAAATAAACCATGTCAAATGTAATGTTTTTTTTTATTTGATCTTTTGGGCTTGCTTATTACCCAGTAAATATATTGAACACTTCAAGTGAGTATCTGTTGTCAAGAAAGTTGGTAAAACTTTACTTATAATCATCGATATACTTTTTAAATTTGACTCACATGCCAGACAAACTAACATTTTATTTGCAAACTATCATGTAAAGTTTTTTTTACAGATTGTTTTCTCCTCTCGAACGAATACTATTCATCTGCTTGTTTTTTTTTTTATCTATTGTTAATGTCCAAAAACATTGACCTGGCACTCGTTCATTTGATCCTGTAATCCGTTTATTCCATAAACGTCACAGTCTGCTTTTAAATCGATATGAACGTACATATTCAATTGTTAAAACGGTAAAATTGAATATCCGACTTAGCGCAGTTGGTAAAGCGGTTTCACTTGAAGAATGTAGACGCGTAAACTGGTATGTTCGAATTCTATTTCAGCACTTTTTTCTTTCTTTTCTTCTATTTTTTAAATTCAAAATCTCAAGAAACTATTGCAAACTGTTTTGTTCTGTGTACTATCTGTATAGTATTTTTAATATATGTAACTGCCTGTATAGCGTGTATGCTCTAAAGCATAATTATACGATTGCACCATGTCACGAATACTTAAATTGAAATATACTGTAATGAAATAAAATATAATTGTGTTTAAAAACACCACTTACAAGGTATTCTAAAACCAGTTGTAGTATTAATTCTTGCAAGTAAATTTACACACACAAATAATCATAACGTGATGATGGTAAGGAATCGAATCAGAGACCTTCAGATCGGTAGTCCGACATCTATACCAATAAACCACACCTCACTGACTAGTGAAGTTAGCAAATATATCGATATATTCGATAGATATTCAAATGACCTTAACGAAAGTAAATGAAGTGCCAGGTCAATATTGTTGGACAACACGACACAATAAAATACACCATGTTGGCGATACTAGATTAATTCATGGACCAGTAACTAAAACTTGGACAAACGGTTTAAGACTAGTATGCATGAATATATATCTGAATTCGTTTACGCCTGTTTTTGACGTATATTGAGAATCGTTAATGGTATTAATATTTAGAATCGTAATAGTGTAGTATAAGAATACGTCTTTTCAGGTTCGTACCTTTAATGTAATATGTAAACATAACGTAAACAGGATGTGACGTCTACAACGTAACGTATAAAAAGCGGCAGACCTTAATAAGAGCGCGCAATAGAGCGCATAACGTACATATCTTGACACTGGGGGTCGCAAAATGATATGAAATGCACGTACAATGTGTTGAAAACGTTCTGAAATATTGTTAAAAAGTTATCAAAAAATCACCTTCAATCCATTTAAAACACACTGTCTTTTAAGTCAATTTTCTCTAATAAAGATATTAATACTTGGAAATTGAATAGAACGTGGTTTTACGTCATGAATCTTAACTACATCTCCAGCTATTATCGTCTGAGTATTGTTTCCTTTCATCTGGTGGTGTTAATGTAAGGCGGTGAGATACTCGTGTCGCAATTTCTCCAGGAACCGATCAATCAGTAATTTCTGAACTCTGGCTCTTCTTGTTATACATGTGATATCACTAAACCTGGAGTTAGTAATTTGTGTATCGGTAACGTCTTGGTATGGTATTGTCGTTAATTTTCGGCCGTAAAGTAGGTGGGCTGGTGTAAGTGGTTCAGCATCAGAAGAATCGGAAGAGACGTACGTTAGTGGTCTGTCATTCATCACGGCTTCTACTTCCGTCACAACTGTTTGTAAAGTTTCATAGCTTATGTATGTCCTTCCGAGAATGTTTTTCAATGTTGTTTTTGTCAGGCCAATAAGTATTTCCCACCAACCGCCATACCATAGTGAATGTTTAGGAATAAACTGCCACTGTGTACCCTTGTGACTAAGTGTTGATTGCAGGGAAACAGACTCAGACATGCGTTTGATGTGGTTAGCTGCTGCCATTTAAGTCGAAGCATTGTTTAAAAATCATGATCTTAGGCACGGACATACGACTGCAAAATCTTCGGAATGCTTGAATAAATGAATCTTAAGATAAATTGGGAACTTGTTCTAAGTGTACGGCTCTAGTTGATGTGAATGTGAATATGCAGATGTATGTTTTGTCTCACTTCCAGTTTTATCTCTTACGCATAAAGCGCCAGTAAAATCAACTCTCGTGACTGAGAAAGGTTGAGCATCGTCAACTCTATATTTGGGAAGAGGTGGTGGATCCGTGAGCGGTGTATGGTTTTCCATCTGTTTTACGGCAAATGACGCATTTTCTAATTATCACTCGAACTATCTGGCGGATTGACGGAATCAAAAATGTTTATGTTAGGTATGTTATTATTACACTTACTCCGGCGTGTAGTTGGCGTTCATGAGCATCTAATATAATAAGTTGGGTAAGATGGTGCTTTGCTGGAAGTAGATACAGAAACTTTGTCGTGTCAGAAATGGGTGCTTTGTGAATTCTTCCGTCACAGCACAGGTCCTCCGGTATCTATGAAAAGTTGGAGTTGTTTCACGAGTCGAGGGGCGATTTTTAGAAGATTTAAGGTTTTTGAGATTTCATCACTGTACGTTGTATTCTGACAACTCTTCAGCAATAACTGCTCAGCATTTTGTAGTTTTATTAGTGTTTATTTGTAGGCACCTTAGGATTTGTTGTTCTTGACTTGCAGTAGCAGATAAATCTAAGTACGTATGCCGTTACACTTGTTTGTTTGTTTGTTTCATTTTACGCCTTTTTCCAACAGTATTTCAGTCATATAGGCGGGTAGTTTCCTAACCATCGTTCCTGGAGAGTTACACCAGTACTAGACTACCTTCCTCCGCGCTAAACTACCAAAGCATCTCCCGGGGATCGAACCCACGCCAGAGAGGTAACTGGATTAGAAGTCATCGACTCTAACCCCTCGACCACGGAGGCGGTTATATGCCGTTACACAAAGAAGTCTTCAATATGTGCTGAATTTACCTAAAGTATGTCAATAATGTTATGTAAACTAGGTACATGTGTTGTTTCCGGGACAAGTATTGATAAAGAGTTCTCTGGGTGAAGTTCATAGCGGTCATTTGTTATTATTATAATTGTCAAAACTAACTTATCTTGTCGATTCCATATAGGCCATCTTAAAGAATAACATACCTATGTATGTCCAGATATCCAGAGGTCATTACAGCTGTATTGCGTTGCAGAAATACAACAAGTTATGAGATCAGAAGGGTATTCATTGGTTGGGCAATATCTCCAGTTTCGCGTATTTGACATTGTCTTTATTTCTAACTCTCTGTTTTCTTAAAGCGTTTTTTTCTGCTTAGATATTTGTATTAAATGCAGAACTATCTGACTATCTGACGCATATAAGTTTTGTCTGCATCTACTTAGCATGTACATTGTAGAGAACTTGCGAGTCGAGAGCCTACAACAGCGGTCTTCAATTCCAATCGTGGTAACATCAACTTTCTTAGAGGTGCTATACTGTTTTTCGCTATAACAAATGTTAATTTCTGTTTTCCGCATAAATAGGCTACAGTACTTTAAGACTGTTCAGTTGCATCGACGAAGATGTTAAGTGTATATGTGTCGTCTGCTCTACGACAAGTATAGTCTGCTTGGTATGTTTTAACGGGGAATTTAAAAGTTTTAATGGGGTAAAATTTTCAAACCTTAACAAGCGTTGACCATAGTCCCTGTAGGTTTTCCTTGGAAAATGGGGAAACCCTAAAATTTACTTGTATTTTCCGAGGTCTTGAGCATCTTTTTTTTGCCCCGCAAGGAAATTTGCTGCCTGACCCAAAAAAATAAAAAGGGTTTCCATTATTTGGGGAATTTTGGTTGGGTGGTTGGGTTCCCGCGTTTGGTTTGGCCGTAGCCCCTCTAAAAAAGGGAAGGGGTTTGGGTTTTAAATGATTAAATTTTTACCCCCTGTTTCTGTTTTTTCCCCCTGGGGAAAAATGTAAAGGGGTACTTTTTGGGCCCCTTTGGGGTGCCAAAAGGACGTTTTTTTTCGGGCAAAATTGATCCGCAAAATTTGGCCCCTTGAAAAACCCCCCTTTTTTCCAATCAAAGGTTTAAACCCCCCTTTTTGGGGGAATTAATATTAAATTGGGAAAATGTGGGAAAAAAGTTATTAATATTTAAAACCCTCAAATGGAAACCCTTGACAAAAAAGTTTTTAATGGGAATTTCTCTTTTTTTTTCTTTCAAAGGATGTTTTTTTAATATAAGGTTCCAATGAAAATAGGAAGCCCCTTTCCCAACAAACAAAACAGTTTTGAAATTTTTTATTTTTGTAATTAATGGCTAAAAACCCATTAATTTTCTGGTTTAACCCCCCAAGGCCAAACTAAATATTTCTTTTAAAAAATTTTTCCCCCAGCCTTTTCCCCCAAATTTCAGTGAAAAATCCAAGTACATAGAATAAAATTTATTTTTTTCCCCTTTAAAGGAACCTTTTTCCCCTTGACCCGGCCCCGAAGTTTTAATTTTAAAATAGAACTGTTTTTTTTGGATAAAATTTCCCAAATTTGGACCCCAAATTTCCAAAATGTTTAAAGGGTTTTAAAGTCTGGGTTGACGGTAGAAATTTAGAAATGATTTCTTTTTGTATGTACATGGGTTTCTAAATGGGTTTTTGGGAAGAAAAACCCCAAAAACTTTAAAAGGCTTACCGGCCCGAAGGTCCCATGTCACAAAAAATTACCCCGATTTCGAACTTTTTCTTTTAAAAAGCCAGAAAACTGCCCCTTTTTCCAAAAAGGGGGAATTTAAAAAAAATAAAATTTTTTGGTTTGGTTTAAGGGTTTGGGGCCAATTTTTAAAAAGCACCTTTTATTATGGTAAATTGAAAATTCATAAAAGGGAGATTTAAAGGGGCCAACTGTTTTTGGGGAAACAATTAAAGGACCTTAAATGGAAAATTTTTTAAATCCCGTTGCGTCTTGGGCCCAATATAGGCCCTTTGTTTACCGGTGCTTAAAATTGTTTTGCCCAAATTTGGGTTTAAAATCTCAAAAAACAAAAAGGGTGAAAAAATCTCATATTGATTTCCCCGGAAATATGAAAATTTTCCCCCCCCAAATTCCCCCCAAGGAAAATGGAAAAAAACGTTGGGGCCCCCCTTAAATCTAACATAAATTTAGTTTGGGTTTTTATTTAAACCTTGTTTTAAAAAACAAATTTCGGGCTTAAGCTTCTTTTAATAGAAAAATTCCCATTTTTATTTGGAAACGCAGAAAGTTAAATAGCTGTACACAGGGATTTGTCCGGCTTGTTTTTTCCGACCTTTTTGAGCCGGAACTAACTTTTCACAGATAATTTGGTATGATTTTCCCCCCTTTTTACAATTAAAAGGCCACCCCTTTGGGGTTTTTGTTAAAAATAAATTTTTTATTTTGGGTTTGCATTTGATTTCCCCAAAGCGGGTTAAAACCCCTTAAGGGGGTTTCTTTTAAATTAATTCAACCCGTTTGGGTATAAAAAAACAACGGTTGATACAGTTGTTTGGCCGAAATGGTGTCATTCCCATTAAAAATTTTTTTTTTAAAACCCCCAGTCTCTAACCCCCCCGTATCGGGGCCCTTTTATATTTGGTTTTGTTTTCTGTTTTTAGGGGGGGTTTTGAACATGAAAAAGAAAAGTAGGGTGGGGGGCCCCCAAATTTTTCAGTACAAAAAGTTTTTTCGTTTGCCCCTTAACATCCCTTAAATTTTTTGAATTTTTTTTGGATGGAGTGCATTTCGAAGGTCAACTGTCGCTTCTGTGTTCCCTTCCCCTTAAATTTTTTCGTATTTCAAACCAAAAAGTTTCCCAAAATCCAAACTGTAAAAGGTTAAATCCGTATGCCCTTTTGAGGTTGAAAGGGGTTTTATGTTTTCCACTTGTTTCGTAATTTTCTGTAGCTGCCTTACAGTAAAATTCGGATAAGGGAAATTGAAATAAGGCTTGCATATATGGTGTACGATATTTTTGTTTTTGTCAAAATCATGAATAAATAACCCCCCTAAACCCCCGGTTCTTGGTAAGGGTTGGAATCTGTGTGTTTGGCAAAACTTTTGCCTAGGCTGCCCCTGTCCCCCCTTTTTTGGAACCCTTTTTAAATATGCCCAACCGGGTTGAAGGGCCCGGCTTTTTAGTAAGGATGGTTTTCCTTTTTGGGAATTTCCCCAAAAAAATCTGCCATTTGAAAGTAAATGGGCCTCCTTCATTGTTGGAAACGATAATTTTGGAAGTTTAAATGGCCCATTCAACAAAATTGTTGAAACTCGGTACTTGTTGGGTTAGGACAGTTGTGTATACCAGGCAACAGTTGAAGGGTTGGCTCGCTGGTTTGTCGGTATAAGACTCCATCTGGATATCTGCATTGTATCCCCTACATTTTCTGTAATCTTCCAAACCACTTATTTTAATGTCTTCACTCAGTGTATATTCTTGTGTCTGCAGAATCTCATTTTCAATATCAGAAAGTTGAATAATCTCAATATTTTTCTGATCAATGTCTTTGACATTTTGCAACTTCAGACGGATGCTCTGTAAGATCGTGTTGAATGCTGTTGGCGTTTGATCTTGTTTAGCGACTTTAATTCTCTGCAAATATTGTTAAATGACTTATTTATGCCCCTCTCTAGTAAAATTAAGTCTCTCCAATTTGTTGAAGTTTGTTCACGGCACCAATATCGAGAATTGTAATAGTGTAGTATAAGAATACGTCTTTTCATGTTCGTACCTATATTGTAATATGTAAACATACGACGTCTACAACGTAACGTGTAAAAAGCGGTTGACCTCACGTGCGTAAGAGCGTTAACGTACATATCTTGACAATTAATTCCTTTTTGATAGTAATAATACTACGAAATGAAAAAACAACAACAATTTTGATGAAATATGAGCAAACAAAACACCAATTTGTACACAGTCTGTAAGCATATTATCCAGCGTGCTAACATGCTGCCCTATAAATAGTGATTGCCTTACATCGTCTATATATATAAGTTTGAAACGAATTTAAAAAAAATGGAACACAAATGCATTTATTATTTGCGTCAAATTGACGGTAAGATAAATGGCTTATTTTCAAACATGTGCCGATTTTCGAGATTCAGCAGAATAAACGAAAAACTTTCTGGCAGCTAAGAGACAAACGAGACGTGATAAAGTGATTCCAAGATAGTTCCCATGCCTCCCCCCCCCCACACACACACATGCGCGCGCACAGAAGTACTCATACACGCACGTTCTGACACACGCTTTCACGCACACAGTAATACAATTGATTTCAAGCACATACGTGTATATGTACAAACTATACGCTAAAACCTTCTTTTGCGAGCGAGTAAGACGCGAAAAATGCCGATTCTGAAATGAAATTTAATAGGTTCAATAAATATCACTGATTGTCATCTTCATAACTAGGAATTACATAAAAGAAATTATTTCAGGTCTTAAGTCTATGTTAAAACCTATATTTTCCGATATATGAAAAAAATACGATTTCTCAACATGGTACTTCGTTTATTATGTGCTAACTCGTTGTATGTGCACACAATGATCACACAATAATATAATTTTTCTTTAAAGTGTAAAGAGGATTTACTCATCAATTGTAATATTTTTTGAAGTACCATATTTGCCTTGAAAAATAAATCAAAACAGTGCACGGTTGCTTGAGAGCATACAGTAGTTTAGGAAAAATGACAAAGAAATCCTCATGTGTGTTGTTTTTTAACTGTTAGTTTGCGTGCTACAAAATATGCTAACTCGTTGTATGTTTGCATTGAAAAATAAATCAAAACAGTGCACGGTTGCTTGAGAGCCAACTTTTTTTGTAAGTTTTTGATATAATACCTGTTTTAGCTATTGTTAATGAAAATAAGATCCAAAATCACACGTAAACGGCATTTTCGCACGTCAATGCTTTGAAATGGGCAATTATATGTACACTAATAGTACAGCTCTTTTCTTACTGTTTACATATTTTGCTTTAAATACGTTGTTTGTGTATGAATAAATACAGGGAAAAACCCTAAAGAAAACCCAAAACGACAACATTGAAAATGTTGCAGACTCACCTTGATTGAACCTGTCCATAGACGGTACTGGCAAGTGCAAACTACCGTCAAAGAATCCTAGCAACGGTTTAAGCAGAATTCAGCATTCAAACATGCAAATGATGAAATTTAGAAACATTCGCATATGTGTTTATAGGGTGGTTATCATTGAACCTTTCATGTGACGCATTCGTACCATTACATGAAAAGCGACGTATGGTCCCCAAGTAATGTGAACAAGAAAACAATGGACGGAACGGATGGACGGATTTTCGCTAAATTCCGTGAAATGTACTTAGTAAGATGTAATTTAATTTAGTTTGTGTCTGTGAAAAACGTATACTTGGCGTTATAGCGCATAAGGGAAAACTACGGGTTTCTAAGTGTCCTGCGTGTTGTAAGATCGAGACCGCTGGGGTCTATTATTTTTTCCTAAATTATATTTCAATATGATTGAAAATAGGATTTTTTTATGTTGTTCATCTCGTTTTAATATGTTTTTCACTTATTTTGGTAAGAAAATCATTAATTTTATAGATAACATTGTTTAAGAAATAATATTATTAAAAATTCAATCGGATTTAAAACAATAAAAAATAATGTCATTTCAATGTCGTAAAACACAATACAAATTGCGACAAAACAGTGTTTCTATGTTGCTTCGTATCAGTGTTGATAATTTTGCAATCACTATGAAATATCTATTAAAATATACTGCAAAATAAAGAAAGGGTACATCTAAAACAATGGACAACATTAGGGATCAAACCACACACTTTTTGAAAACATAAGTTATTTACTCCAAATCAATTCTCGTAAACTGCACGGACAGAACCGATGTGGTATCGAATATTTAAATACGTGTTTTTGTAGTAATAGTTGAAAGGTCAATAAAATCAGTCTATATCCTTCAAATTTATATCTTAAAATTGGACATTGTTTTTTGAAATATTTTACATTATAATTATTTTTATGTATATAATTGCTGTCGACTAGTACTTTATCATCACAATTATGAATTTGGTCAATATCTTTGATATGGCTAAGCAGACTATGTTAAAAAAAGATTTAAGGTGGATGACGCAAATGTTTGATTTACATATTTGTATAAAATGTAATTTTACTTGACCTGTAAGGTAAATATAAAAAATAAACCAAACGCCACATTTGCTTTAAACTTTTGCATGTAAATGTTTGTTTCTATTGTTTATAATATGTTATGTTTTCCAATCTTTTACCGTTATAATGTTCTTGTTATCAGCACCTGTCGTATGTTTACCGATAGTAAATACCCCAGATTCAATAATCGTTTTTGCCTGCATTTCCACATCTCCATGTCGTTTCTGTATAGTTTTAAACCAACGAAGAGTGTTGTTTGCATGCTTCTGGAATTTCAATAATTTCCGGATATAAGTATGATAAAAATCATACATAATTAAAAATGTCATCCTTCCTGCGCAGGCAAATTATTTTATACTGTGTTAAAGAATGTCAATACTGTTTAATAAATGATTAATGACTTTGAAATTGCTTTTTGTTATAAACACAAGAAATAATGAAGAAGCAGCAGAAACATAAATGACTGTCTTCTAAATTCACGAGCAATTTAAAAGATCAGATACTATTCAAGTCAAGTTGATTATTTTTTACAGAATTAAGTCCTACTCGGTTTACGTAACATACTAGAAACACAAATGCTTTACTTAAACTGATATTATATTTGTTCTTAATTAATTCAACACAATTTAAACCTTAACTATTGAGTGTGATAAAGACATTTCAATTCGTATCCTGTCTTTTCTATTAGTTTCATCTGGATTGAGCAAACTATAAGGTTAAGTGTAAATAAATTTACCAGCTTATCGGGGATCTTTGGGTTTTCTTTAAGACACTCCCAAACAACCTTGCACTTCCTTACTACTTCATCATAGTCATCGGTATCTTTTAAGTCAAAAATCAGCGAAGAGTAACCAATCACTCCTGCGTGCAAGCTTTGGACTTTTGCTATATCTTCAACTTTGTCACCAGCTGATATCATGGCAAGATCAACAAACACAATGAATTCTTTCAATGTGGCTATAGAAACAAGAACAACTGGACATAAGACGTCATTATTATCATTATCTTTAAGTGACATGTTGATCATTTTTTTCATTTGTCAAATTAAACTTTACTGACAATGTATTTATAAAAAAATGACTTTTAAAGAGGTCATTGACAAATAATTGATAATGAAAAATGTTAAGGATGAAATACAACAATTGCTTAAAATATATAAAGACTGGCCACTCTTTTTATAAATAGGACGTTAACGATACATTACAAAATATATTCATAGAATTTTCGGTGAATCACGATATTGGGTTTATTTCCTGTATGTGCTACACCAAACACCTGAAGGAAACAATGTTTCATAATGTTTCTTTAATGTGCAATCAAGTACCATCACATGGGTAACAACTTTCATAACTACATAATGTTATTTAATTGCACAAAATTGTTATATTCATTTAATACAATTATTAAAATCAAGATGGTAAATAAATAAACATACATTTCTTCATTGACACCCTTAACCATTTCACAAGTTCTACACAGTTCACAAAAACCTGAATACAAGATACGTGTTCTGAAGTTACGCGGGCAAACAATTTTCCAATCTCTGACCATGGATTGTCGTACTCGTTCATAGCTATGTTATCGAACTCGTGCTAGAATAAAACAATAGTATTATAATTGCCTTATACCGTTCATCTAAGATCAATTATTAGTTACTGTTTTATTTTCTAAAGGAAAGTAGACGACTGGGTTACATTCAAACACGTCTAATTATTCGTCTTACAAACTATATTATGACTTATGATATTGGTGCTTGAAAAATTATTTGGGACATAAATTTTCCAAAGTACAATAAGTCAACGTAACAAAATAGCCCCGAGGAGAGTGACCATTTTAGAAAATTACGTATAAAATTTTAGATGAGGATTTTTGAAACCAATGCTCTCTGCAAGGAAGTCAACAAATTATCCATATTCAAGGCAATAGACTTCAGAAAAAAAATCAAATATTTCCCCGGTTTTTGTAATGTGTAACCATTTGGAAAGTGCAATCAAGTTTTGCTCCTTGAATAAATATTTAGCTCTGCACAAGAATATTTAGATGTTTTTTTTCCTAATTATAATACAAATGTATGTTAACTTAATGAACGACAGAACGGGACCAATTGTAAGTACTCCATGACTTCGCCATAGGTACTTTTTGGCCAAATGGGTATGCCCTCAAGATGAGCTTTTGTGATGGCCCATTGTCCGTCGTCCATGGTCCGTCCGTTAGTCCGTCCGTGCGTGCGTTCAGCAATTTCTTCAATCAAATTTTCCTCCTAAATTTGTTGAAACTTTGCAAGGATGTTTCTTACAAGAAGCTCCACCAAAGTTGTTCAAAGAATTAAATTCCATGCAGAACTCTGATTGCCATGGCAACCGAATGATTGTTTTTTGGCATGAAACATTTTCTCGTGGATGTCTACCAGGTTTGTTCAAATAAAATCCCTAGGGTCAAATTGGCCTCGCCCCAGGGGTCATTGATTTTCCTGACATAGTAAAAACTTAGCAAAAACTTGTTGCGAAAATCCAAAAGAGGTAGAGCTTAGATATTTGGCATGAAACATCTTCTAATAAATGTCTACTAAATTTATTCAAATAAAATCCCTAGGGTCAAAATTGATCCCGTGCCAGGGTGTCATTGATTTTACTTATATGTATATAGTAAAAATCTAAAAAAAATCTTCTTGTCTCTATGGTCAAAATTGGCCCCGCCCCAGGGGCCATTGATATTCCTTATATGTATATAGTAAATAGTAAAAACTAAAAAGAAATATCTTCTTGTGACAATCTAAAGAGCTAAAGCTTAGATATTTGGCATTGAAAAAATCTTCTAGTTGATGTCTACCAAGTTTGTTCAAACAAATCCGTACTCAAATGTTTGTTTTCCCTCTCTTTTTCTATCATCTTTTCATAAGCTCACCTCTAAATTAGTGACAGGCTGAACTGTTAAATAAAATGACTGCCAGAGATTAAAATTAGAAAACAACAATACTAAACAACATCTTAACCACAGTTTTGAAATAATTTCACTTAAAAATCTCCTTGTTGACAGTGTACAATTTGTGTTCAGTTTTTTTTTAAATTTATTATACCTTTATGACATATATGTACATAAATTTCATATACATACATTTCACAAAGTTACATAATAATATCAAATCATATCATTATTTGTTTTTAGTGAATCTTATCTCTAGCTTAATTTTCACTAATGTCATATATTTTTTTTTAATTTTTCAAAAGAGGAGAAAAGTCAAATTAATAAAACAAGAGGGCCATAATGGCTCTGAAGTCGCTCACCTGTATATAGGCCCCCGGAGGTAGGCCAGTTTTAACCCCAGGGCTTTTATTTGAACAAACTTGGTACACACCCATAAGAAGATGTTTCATGCTAAATATCTAAGCTCTAGGTCTTTGAGTTTTTTTTAAAGAAGATGTTTAGTTTTTACTACACACATATAATGAAATACAAGGATTTTTATTCAGATTGAGCTGGCCCTTGCTTTCAAATTGTGCTTCTGTGGTCAAAAGGGGCCTTACTTTCACCTTTTGACCTATTTCTCAGGTGTGCGATCTAGGGCCTTTTAGGCCCACTTGTTCAAATAATGTTTTGCGTTTTCTTAATCTATTAATAAAAATGTTGATATTGTGAGACAGACTCATGAAAATTATTGACAAATTATTTAGCATTTTTTCAAAAACAAAAAAACAAAACAAAAAAAAAACACACACACACACAAAATCCATCACATAGCATTAAATAAAAATTTATTTTTTCAATTATTTACTTACATTTTGGAGTCGTTGAAGGATATCAAAATTTCCTGTTAGTTGATACCCATTTTTGAGGGCTAATAGCACTTGTATAACTTTTGTTATATCTTCATGACTTCGAAACTGCTGCAGCTGTTCTATTCTCTCCTTAATTTCTTTCTCCTCGGGGCATATTATATACATCTCCCGTTCCAGAGCATTGTAATTCCTACCAAACTGTATCCCAAACAAATGTTCCATTTCGTTGATTGTAATGTTGCCAGTTCTTATGTTATATGCAAGTTTATCCAATCTTAAAATATGCCAATGTATATAATATGATGCAACAGCGCACTGTATTCTATAAATGTTTTAACAACGCCAATTTTAGTGTTTTTTTATTCTGTACCAAAAATGTATGCTCCAAGTAACATTATTTGGTTAATTTTATTCATTCAAATAATACAATATATTTGATCAAAATATACTTAAGGAACACGGGCGAATGCACAAAGTGTATTCTTATTCTAAACTAAATTTGTTGCATTAAATACTGATGGGAGGATGCTGTTTTAATGGGTTTTGTGTCGTTTTTTTTTTGGGGATCTGTGGATTTGACTGTTATACTATTATTGCTATAGAAGTTGAAAAGAATTCTGAATTCTAAAGTTTTGCATAGTTGTAAACCTTATATCATCATATATGTGTTTAACGTATAATGCAAGTATTTACTGAGGTACTTAAAGTGACAAAACCAGAAAAAATCAGAACAATCCACTATTGCCTTTAATTGTATTTTACGTCGCACTAATACTGTTAAGGTCATATGGCGACGTTCCATCTTAACTGATAAAAAAAGACCTCAAGTTCCACTTCGTGTATTGTAAATGTTGATTCCTAGAGCATTTAATACATTTCATTCTTTCTTGCCACATTTAAACCAAGATGGGCAAGATGGCCCTAGATGGCTAACCTGACCCATCAAACTCATCCGAACAATTACCTAGACAAGCATTCTGACCAAGTTTCATGACAGGTGTGTCATAAATGTGACCACTAGAGTGTTAACAAAGATTATTCATATTTGAGAAGTGTGGCCTAGTTTTTGAACCCAGACGACCCATATTTTTACATTCAAAACAAACTTTCAGACCAATTTCAAGGATACTTGGATAAAAACAGTAGCCACTAGAGTGTTAACAAGAACTTTTTTCTATTTCTAGCTCTTTTGCCCTAGTTTTTCATCCAAGATGACCCATGTTCGAACTCGTCCGTAATTACCTAGGCAAGCATTCTGACAAAGTTTGATCATAATTGAGTCAAAAATGTGACCACTAGAGTGTTAACAAGGTTTTTCCATATTTGAGCGGTGTGACCTAGTTTTTTATCCGAGATAACCCATGTTCAAATTTTACCCAGTATTCACCAAAACAATTTTTTAGGCTTACTTACAGGATATTTGGATCAAAACAGTAGCCACTAGAGTGTTTACAAGATTGTTCTATATTTAGCTCCTGTGACCAAGTTTTTCATATGAGATGACCAATGTTCGAACTCATCGAGCAATTACCTAGCTAAGCATCTTGATCAAGTTTGATGATAATTGAGTAAAAAATGTGACCACTAGAGTCTTAACAAGGTTTTTCCATATTTGGGCGGTGTGACTTTGCCACTGGCTCTTGTTACCGGGTCGGGTGGGGGGTTGCGTTCATTGAACGCAACCTTTCCTTGTTGATCTTGCTTATCATATTTTAGTTTTTTACCCAAGGTGACCCATATTCAAACTTGACCTAGAAATCATTAAAACAAACTTTCAGACCAATTTCCAGAATATTTAAATCAAAACAGTAGCCACTAGAGTGTTTACAAATTTTTTCTATTTTTAGTTCCTGTGACCTAGTTTTTCATCCGAGATTACCCATGTTCGAACTTATCCAAGAAATTACCAAAACAAGCATCCTGACTAAGTTTGATGTCAATTGAGTCAAAAATGTGACCACTAGAGTGGTAACAAGGCTTTTCTATATTAAGCTCCTATTTCCTAGTTTTCATCCGAAATGACCCATGTTCAAACTCATCCGAGCAATTACCCAGACAAGCATTCTGACCAAGTTTGATGACAATTGAATCAAAAATGTGATCACTACAGTGTAAACAAGATTTTTCTATTTTTAGCTCCTGTGACCTAGTGTTTTATCCACTAGACCCATGTTCGAACTCATCCAAGCAATTACCGAGATAAGCACCCTGACCAAGTTTGATGATAATTTAGTGAAAAATGTGACCACTAGAGTGTTAACAAGGTTTTTTCTATTTTTAGCTCATGTGACATAGTTTTTCATCCGAGATGACCCTTGTTCGAACTTATCAGAGCAATTTCCTAGGTAAGCATCCTGACCAAGTTTGATAATGGTTGAGTCAAAAATGTGACCACTTGAGTGTGAACAAGGCTTTTCTATTTGTAGCTTCTGTGACCTAGTTTTCCATCCGAATTGACCTATGTTCAAACTCATCCGAGTTAAAACCTAGACAAGCATCCTGACAAAGTTTGATGATGATTGAGGCAAAAATGTGACCGCTAGAGTGTTAACAAGGTTTTTCTTTTTTAGCTCCTGTTACCTAGTTTTTCATCCGAGATGACCTATGTTCGAACTCATCCGAGCTTTTACCTAGATAAGCATCATGACAAATTTTGATGATGATTGAGGCAAAAATGAGTGTTTACGAACAAGTGTGGATGGACTACGGCCGACAGATGACGGACGACGGACATTCAACGATCCTAAAAGCTCACACTGAGCTAGCTCAGGTGAGCTAAAAAAACTTAATTATGTACGACGGGCATATGTTTAATATTAATCAGTCAAGTTCGTGCTTATAGGGCCAGTGCAATTGTATAAAAAGACGAGACCTTCCTCTATATCCACGGGGAAATCGAGAGTGTAACTTTTTAACAATTGATGTAATGTACACTGCGCCTCAAATGACAGACAAGGAGAACATTTTTAAGGTGAGTCGTTCGTGCATTGTTTCGTTTTGCTACGTCTTATATGAAATCAGTATAAGACGACATTACTGGAAAAGTAGCCGTATATATTCCAGTTAGGTGGATTGAATGGATATAAAAGATGTGCTCTCGTCAACAGCAACATATTAACAGTGATGTAAAGAAAGATATCCGCCCTAAAGTAGATCATTCAACATGCTAGAAGGTAAACTAGTGAGAAGTAAGGTTATTTTTAACGATCGCACAAAACGACAAAATTATATCTTGCAGTCCCCGGCTTCATTGAGCCTATTTATGAAGGGTACCACAAAATATACACACAAAACATGCACTATTTTTGTTTGTTTGTTCCTGTTTTTTGTCTAACTTTCTTTCTTCTTTTGGGAAATTGCAGAATATTTTGGTATGAGGCTTGCACAAAGGTGCAGGGTGTTTTTTTTTAATAATTTTATCGGATTCGGTCATTTGGACAGTTGTTAAGAGCTCTATGCTACAGTCCGTCCGTGTACCGGCGTTCGATGACAACGCACCAGCCTTCCTTCATACATTAGCGAAAATAGTATTGAAAATTGCCATATCCCCTTACAATATGATCTTGCTCCATGAGACTTTTTACTCAACAAATAAATAAAAACTTGTATGAAAACTCGATACTTTGAATAAAATATAATCCAGAAAAGAGTTGATCCCATTGCCTTCAGCAATGCATTTGGGAAGTGAAAGGGGAGGATTTATAAGTTGGAAATACTCTTAAAAGTTGGATAAACTATAATTAATTTATAGGAATTTCCCGACTACAAATACAGCGCCACATAGATCAAAATATGGAAACAAATTGATCCCTCGGGAGCAACAATCACAACAAAATTACATGAACATAGCCGACCCGGTATGAGTACTTTGCACATGCGCCATGTATTTCGAATGAAAAGAGTTGGTTGTTTACTAACAGGTCATCAACTTGAGCAGACACCACATAAAAGGTATTGCTGATGGGGTTTTAATTACAGTAACTATATTACCTTTCATATAAAAGGATCTGTAATTGTAAACTGTAAACCAACATTTTAATATTTTCAAAATAAGAATTCATGCCAATATAGTAGATGTATATTCAAAATACCTTTCTTTAACTGGGTCCATGATCCTTGTTTTCACATCTGCCATTTTAAAACAGTGTTCACTGTTTTGTTCTACCTGCTTTTTGCATTCATCACTCCACCAAAGCCTAAACCGCTGACTACCATTGAAATATTCAACAAATTTAACAAGCTCTCTAAGGGCTTCTGATGCAATTAGATTCACAGGCATGTTTGTTTCATAATATGAGTTTTTGGTCACGTTTATAATGCTGACTATATCTGACATTGCACAATTATTCTTCCTTTTTTCAAATATTTCGTCTATTGGACTGGTATCCACTATAAAATGTAATGTTGTACATCTATTAACCTTATTTGTCATGAGTATTGGATATATTCATTTTCATAAAAAAGGGTTTGGGCTTTGCGTATAAAATTATCAGTCAGTTCTAATTACCGCATAATGATAAATTTTTCTGGAAGGAACTCTTTTGAAGTACAATAGCCTTTAATTATAAAATTAGACTTTCTCACAAAACTCAGTGCAATAAGAACAGAAAGATATGCGAATGGTAGTTTATAATTTTACTCACTTAACACTATATTTTTGTGCTATTTTAAAGGGATACTCAGGCAAAATAATGACAAAAATATAAAAATTATCTTCTGTACTCAAATCACCCTAAAATGACATTTCTTAAAGTCCCAGCATGAATTTCTGTATAAATTCTATATATTTTGGGTTTGAAGCTTGAAAATAACTATATATGTTGAACGAAATTTAGACGCCAACAGAATCCCCGAATAGTTAAAAAACAAGTCATGTGATTTGAACAAACCCTGGAAGTTACAATAACAGGTGTTGTGGATATTGTATGATTGAAATAAGTCTAAGTAATTGATTTGACATGTTCTTTAACGTTTCCAGAGTACACAGTGACAACTATTGTGAAATCTTAGTGCTCTAACCTGACCCACGCGGGTCAAGTTAGGAAAACACCATTTTATTCTTTACATGGAGCAAAGTTTTGTTCCTTTGACTGTTTAGTGTATTTATTTTGAGGACATTTACAGAATAAATAATGAAAAATTCAAAACTAAGAAATGAAAATTTTGCCTGTGTCTCCCTTTAAGCCCGACATTGGCACATTTTTTACAATTAGAATACCATTTTTGAAATAAGAACAGATCTGAAATTATTACTACACATTATTGGTCTAAACCTAGATAAAATAAAAGATAAATCTCGGAAAACTATGTTCACTTTGAGGTGACACATGATTAGAAACACTTTATACCACGTTATATAGGGCAGCTAGATAGCTTTCTAAAATAAAAGAATCCAAACTTCTTGGCGGGATATGACCATAGGGCAGTTAGAGCAAGTGGTATGAAGTAAAATAAACAACTATTCGGCCACGTACGCCTACAGAATTCACTTAGTTAAGATGAATCCACAACATTATATCACATAATAATGTAATTCAAAAGTGTATCATATTCGTTGTCATAGTTGTTAAAACCTCTTAAAATCTTTAAAATAATAAATAAGTTTGAAAACCTTAAGATGCTTACCGCGTTTTAAACACGCACAAAGTCTCTTAAGTTCGGAGAGTGATTCCATGTGTCTTTTAAGCTGATTAAATTCTGAAATTCGGAAATTGAGTGCTTTCCTAGTTTCCTGAGTTTTTGCAGCATTTATTTTCTCCACTAAAGCTAAAAACAACCCTCCATTTTTCATTAGAAGCTCAAGCGCGTCGATAGTAATATTTCCATTATGTACTGATTCAATTTTACTCAACAGTTTCAGACGTATTCCATTTAACTGACCATAGCAACAATGCTCTGTGGTAGATTGTCTAATTTTCTCTCCACCGTCTAAAACACACGAGACAGCAAATTAAATGGAATTAGCATGTAAAACATTACAAACAACAATTGTTAATTAATACAGTTTAAGTTTAAAAGTCTTTTCAACTGAGTTACCGAATCTTAAGTACTTGACGTATTAAATAGAAACAAGACAAAACTTTTTATATTCAATTTGTCTGGCAGACGACTGGCATAAACTCAACTGATCAAAGGTGTTTTATTAAACACACTGTGAACCTGTTGGACGTTAGTCGATGTTGAAACATAACCGTGATAAGGCTAATTGAAATCATATACATTTATAACTTTTTCAATTTCTTTACTCACATAATACTTCTAACAAAACTGGGAGTGACTGCCAGCTTAGAATTGTTTCTATCTTCATCTTAGTATGAACACCACATAGTGATATGTGCTTTTCCATAAATATGCTTTCAAACAACTGCAGCAATGTTTCCTTCTCCTTTTCACTCCACCGAGTTGTATCTCCACAACCCTGATTTATTGGCATCGTCTACAGAAATTTCATACAACTATGTGAACACATTTTCTATAAAATGAACATTGATGTGTTGTTCAAAAACATTCATGATCACTCATGATATTAACTCTGATTTATTTGGCAGTTCAAAGTGTTAGACGTATAAAATAATCAGTAACGTTATATTTTTAACTTTAGCAGAAGAAGTCATAAGAACATTTTTTTTTATAATTCTTCAGCTGTAAATTTAGAAAAGGTCACACTAAATGGATGCACACTCGATTTTTAAAGCGTTACAAAAGCATTTGTAAGATTTGTCTGAGAATGAAAATTATAGTTAATAACATTTTGTTTCATTTTGTAAAGAATAATTAAAAAGTGTTTTTGTCACAAAACCATATGTCTCCCAAAACTATGAAAGGGCACTCATGTGAAGTTTCATTGAAATCCTGCCATTGGCTTGACTTGTGAATGCCGGACAAGATTTTTCTATTATTTAGCTCTGGTGGCTATTTTGTGCAGCGAAGCGGAACGTGCGGATGAGGTGCACAACCACGGATGGCACTGATCACTCCTGTAAGGTTTGGTTGAAATCCCACAAGTAGATTTACCTGTGAAAGCCGGGCAAGATTTTTCTATCCTTAGCTCTGACGGTTATTTTGTGCAGCGAAGCAGAACGTGCCGGTGAGGTTCACAACTAGGGGTGTTACTGATCACTGCTGTAAAGATTGTTTGAATTCCACCAGTAGTTTGACCTGTGAAGGCCTGACATGATTTTTTTCTATTTTTAGCTAATTTGGCCATTTTGTGCCGCAAAACGGAATGTGCTGGCGATGTGCACAACTACGGATGGTACTGATCAGTCCTGTAAAGTTTGTTTGAATTCCCAACAGTGGTGTGACCAGTGGAAGCCGGGCAAGAATTTTCTATTTCTGGCGGCCATTTAATGCAGCGAAGCGGAACGTGCCGGTGACGTGAACAACAATGGATTGTACTGATCACTCCTGTAAAGTTTGGTTGATATCCCACCAGCAATTTTACCTGTGAAGGCCGGACAAGCTTAATGCGGACATACGGACAACCTGACGGACAGACGGACGGCGAAGGCAATAACAATATCTCGCAAAAAATTAAGGCGATATAATTATGCGAGGCCATGACCTAATAGACCCTTTTTGGTTTGTTTGATCCTTCTTTTTCTCTTTTTCTGGTCCTTTAAATGTTCCTTTCAAGCTTCAAACTAATAGGGCCATGACGGCCGAGATCGCTTACGTTGTATCCATTTCTAGTGCAGTAGTAGGTTATTTGGTCAAATTGGGTAGTGTCATTTAAATCTCAAGAAGCATGATGTCTATAACGTTTGTAGATTTATATAAAGAAATTCAATATACCATACATTTAAGCTTCGGACGTTGTTTTCAAAAATAAATAAATAAATGTGTGTTTATCATATGACTATAGTATTACCTATGGGAAAAAGCACAGTTGACCCTATGTCTTAGAAAAAAAGGCATTACAATGAAGACAATCACAAGATGACATTTTATACACATGTTCTGTGTTCGGTAGTATAAATAGAGAATACTTTTAAATATGTAAGTATACAAGTTGATGTCAAATCATTGAACGTTTCGATGAAATTACGATATTTTTGTAACTGTCCATCCGATAATGATAATTACAAGCTAATTAAGCTCTGTACAATGATCCTTTCTAAAGCAAATATACTTTCTTATATCCGTCTTCATGAGCTGAGGACGTCTATTAAATTTATATCAAAGTGTATAAAACTTTTGCAGTAGACCACGAGCTGGAGCGACATGCAAAATAATCTATGGTCATTGCAATTCCATACTGTTATTTTTCTTGAGCACTGCTCTTCCTCTAACTAGTCACTTCAATCTTGTAAAGTTTCAATTATATGTACCCCTAACGAGCATTATTGAAAGATTATGGTATAAAAAAGGAAATAATTCAATAACAAATGCCGAATCATCTCTTATGCTCAGTGCATTTGCTCATGCTAATCTCTTTCACCGTGTCAGGTTTTACTCAAATCCCTTCACTATTTTTCGAGTAATTCTCTGTAAAATCATTATTTGATATCATAAAGGGAGACAATTCATAACAAGTTACGTAGGATTAAGGTTATTTGACCTGCACTTCATCTCACTTGTCTCTATATCTGTACGATCAAACTTGTGTCATAATTTTCTTTACAGTGTAACTTCGGACAAGGATGATTAATGCTCTATAACGTGAGATAATTCACAAAGTAAACAGTGCCCCAAAGGTGACATTTTCCACGCTATTTTGACCGTTACTTAATTTGTTTTTACGAAAAAAAAATCGTTATTACGAAATATTAATTTGTAATAACGAAATATTAATTCGTTTTTACGAAATATCAAGTCGTTTTTACAAAATATTAATTCGTAAATACGAAGATTATTTCGTAATTACGAAATAATAATTCGTAATTACAAAATATTAATTCGTTTTTTTTTACGAAATATTGATTTGTTTTAACGAAATATTAATTCGTTTTCTCGAAACAACATTTCGTTATTACGAAATGTTTATTCGTAAAAACGAAATGTTATTTTGTTATTACGGAATATTAATTCGTAAATACGAAATAACCTTTCGTAAAAACGAATTTTTTTTCTAGGGTTTCAAAGAGTTTTTGGTATTATTTATAAAGAAGGCCTTAAAACTAAGTTCCTGACTTTTTTTCTTAATATTAAAATAATCGCCTGTCAATAGCGTTGCCGCCACAGTCGTGATAGTACACGCGCTATAGGAAGATTTAGTTGAAATGAGGGTCCTGTGCTTCAAATTAAAACACGCACACTATGTTTTTCTGTTTCGTTTTGTCGATTTTATTGAGTTTAGAAATAAAATATTATGTTTATGATCGCAGGGTGCCCATACATAAATTTTAAGGAAATATACTTTTTTTAAATTGATAAGATTAGTGAAAATCTGGAGCCCCCCTTTTTTTAGTTTAACTAATGTGTATGATAAAAAAAGTTATAATAAAGCATGTTTCATTTTTAAAGGAAAGATTAATTGCCTGAAAAATTAAAACATTGCTGATAAGAACATGTTTTTGACAATGGGAAAAAAATGATATTTTGGATTGAGAATGACTTCTCACTCAAAATCCCTGTTCACTTAAATATAATAACTTGAGAACCATTCGGCTTATAATCGCAAGGTTGATCCAGGCTGGTAAATGACCCCATTGTGAGATAAGTAGGTTTTTGTCAAGCTCAAAATGACCTTAAATAAGATTTCGTAAAAACGAAGTAATATAGTGTAATTACGAAATAATATTTCGTAATTACGAATAAATATTTTGTAAAAACGAGTTATGATTTCGTAAAAACGAATTAATATTTCGTAATTACAAATTAATATTTTGTAAAAACGAATGTAAACGAGACGAAAAAAAGTGTCGCAAATGTCATCTGAGGGTCTACGTACTTTTTAATTCATCATTGATATCATTGGAAGTTTAGAAGTCATACTCCGGACGAGCAAACTAAACTTAAGGGAGATAGCTAACATAGCAAGGTAAAGTTATGATTCTTGTCACTGCTCTTTCCCTCAAATGTTTCACTATGTGAAGTTTAAATGAAATTCATTTAATACTTTGCAAGTTATTTTTGGAATAAGAGTGTGGCGTACTCCCTTCGCTGATATCTGATTTAAGTCTAAGTACATAAACTAAGAAGATAAATTTTAGAAAAGAGACTTACCTTGGAAAATGTGACATAGAATTGTTGTGTTATGCAGGAGCAAGATTTTAACAAAAAGCAGAGGCTCATTAGACAATGCTACATACCAAATACATGTAGTTAAGACCTTTGTTAAAAGGAGGGTGTTCAGCGATCGATTTTTTAAAAAAAAATTCTACCTTCTGTGAAACAGACGTAAAAATGCCTTAAAGAACTTGAACAACTGAGTAAAAACTTAAAGATATACTATGCCAATCTTTGAAAAAAGAAAATATCATAGAAATTAATTGAAGTGTAAGACATTGTCTCTAATAATGTATAATTTGAACAAAAGAATGTACAAGCTATGTATTTGAAGCTGCATTCTCTATCACGGGTCAAATAAAAGGTTTTTCTATTGACATTTTGTTTAATGACATTAAATATTCATAGTGTTGCCTAATTACGTGTGTAGATTATAAAAAACATGATAAATTTACTTTGTGTGATGTCGAAGCATATCGGGTTAATATTTACAAAAGACAATTTATTAAATTTCAATATTTTATGTCAAGTTTGAGCAAAATATATCTTTAAAACATACTAAATTGTTTTATCAAAGATGTTGAGAGATCTTATAGGAAACAATTGTAGAAAGAAGAAGACTGAAAAACTGAACGGTCTTAAAACTGCAACTACGAACACCATGAAATCAAGTGCGCTTTCTTGGAAAACTGATTTGGATCCAAACGCAAAGCATACATACTTTCTTACGTAAAAATTAAACATTTCAGCCAAAGATATTATGAAAAATGAAACGACAAAAAACATCACTTATAAATTCACAAAATCATCGGGAAAAACACATTCGTATTACATCATTACCGTTAGGGGTCAAATTTCTGTATCAAAGAACTCGAAGTACTATGAAAAGGCATAGACAATGAAAGGTACTTATTGTGGTTTTTATAAGAACCCCTTTTTATTCGATGTCCAGTGACATTATACTTTATCTATAAAAGAAAGACTACAAATAGGGGCTCAAATAAGTTCACAATGTGATCTTTGAAAATGCAACCGTTTTTGCATCACATAAGAAACTGTTTAACCTTTGAGTTGTGAGTATACGACATGAACCTTAAAACGACAGCATGTGTGCGGAAACACACCACATACTGCTTAGTAACTGCAGGACGATTTGGACATTTTCAACTTATCAAAGTTATCAGCGGCAGATAATAACTAACCATTTGACAGTTAAAACATTTGACTGTGCATTAATTTAAAGGTACTATCCCATACATTCCAGTATAGGCGTTTTTGAATGAAAGTGTCGTAAAAAGATAAAATTTCACCACAGGCTCGTACATTTATATAGAACTAGATGATTGATATATGTATTGTTTGCCGAAAAAACATATAAGTAAAGTTTTTGCTACTTTTTATGATGCAGTAATTTTAAACCGTTGCAACGTTTTATTTTATAAATATTGACTTAAATATTAAACACACCCATTAACTGGTTGCATGTAGATCTGTTGGTTGCGGGTATAACAGTTGTGGACTTGGTAAGTTTTTTAATCCTGCAATCGATAGTTGCTTAATATATCATAGCAAAGTATGTCTTTAAAAAGAGACAAAAAAGAACTTTTATCGGTAATCCGGTTAAAAACTGACATTTATATAGTTGTAACTGCATCAAGCTGTCCTACTCGCTACATGTTCCCGGTGTGATAATATGGTTATTTATATCTGTTCCAAGTGAAACATAACAACCTTTAGGCTACAATTATCTCGTGAAAACTGCAAGTTTTACTTATATGTATAATTAATAATTGAAACAAATATGTTGATGTTTTAGACCTATTTTGCATGGGAGAGTAGCTTTAAATCTCAAATAATCAAAATACTTACACATTTAGTGGCCTCTTTCAAAATATTTTTCGTTTGACATTTATACTCTTCTTTGCAGTAAAGTGAAACCATTTCCCAGTACTCCCCTTTTTCCTTAAAATGAAACATAAATAACGTATAAAATAACTGCAGACATATCTTAACATGAGATAAGACTTCTTAATAGAGCAATTTGTGTTTTAATATATATAATTTTCAATACCTTGAAAATAAATACTTCAAAAGTTTTTTTTGTCTGTATAATTGGTCTATAACATATTTAGAAACCATATATGTATATATTTTAAGAAATGTGTTCTATTCACAAGTTCAGCAATACTTTGATTGTTTTATACAAAAACATGGCAAAATTCACTCTGTCTATCACAAAGTATTTAACCAGTTACTTACTGGGTATTTTGACCATTTACAATTATTTTATATTGTAGCCTAGTGGCTTCGGCTTGGTTTTATCCAGTTAAGGAGAGAAGGTCATAATGGCCGTAGTACGTACACTTGAGATCTATTGAATTACTGGACAAGTCTCAAAATCGTCCAGACATAGGTCAATGTATCCTGTTTCTAACGTCGGCAGTCGTATAAAAGTCAAATATTAATGCAAATATCAACGAGGGGGAACGCCGTTCACGGTGTGCTGCCACCAGATAACGTACAGTCAATCAAGTACAATATAAAAATGTTACTCTGGTATTACGGTTTACACTAAACTGGAATCAAGAGTAAAATGTCAGGGTGAAAGTTAAAAAGAGAGAAATAGTATCCCTCAACAAATTCGAAAACGTCAAAATTAGAAATGCTGCAGACTCGGTTTGATAAAGCCTGTTCATAGATAGTACTGGAAATTGCAAACTACTGTCCACGCTTCCTAGCACCGGTTTTAGCAGTATTCAACATTTAAGCATGTAATGGTAAAATTTTGAATTCATAATAATCCGCAGATATGTTCCAAGATCATTATGTTATTCAAATATATAAACTCCATTCAAGTAAATCAAATTTGAATTTAACCAATTACGTCATATAGACATCTTCTCACGCCTTTTTATCAACCCTTTTTGAGGCCTCAAATAGTGAAAAATGCCCTGTTTACACACAATACTCTTGCCTTCGTTTGAGAAATGATGTTAAAAAATTAATCACTATTTTCGCTACCATCCCCTATCAAATAGATGCATGTACATCAAGGGGGTGACAGAGGGGGATGTGCCGGAGACCCCCTCATCTCCAAGAAAATTTTTGACTTGTGAGATACTTAAAAAGGTCTCATGCCGTTCTCAATGTAACCATTGTAAACAACTGAGAAGTTGCAGCACTTTAAAATAAGTTATGATGGAAAAATTTAACGGAAAATAGTTATTTTCGGCAATTTTGACATGTCCCCTCGTTATGGTAACATGAAATTGAGTATGCCGGTACAAAGGCTATGGTCCAGTCAACATTTGAACTACGTTTAAACAGTATTGAAGCTTTTTTATGGTTACATAGCAATTTAAACTTGTAACAGGATGTTTTTTAATGAAAATAGCCATAATTCACAAACTGCAAATGCAGCAATTGTTAAAGGACATTGCTTAAATTGGGCGGCAAAAATATATTAGACAGTAGGATCTGTTTTATCATTACACATCAAGTGAATAATTGATTACCTAAGGAAACTGTCTTTATAATTTATGTAGGAGACAACGCTACATACAAAGCACTTAGCTTTAAAATTTGAGATTTATAAGAAGGATATCATTATTGTCATTTCCCTATTTAATAGAATTGATACCTTATCAAAGTGGTTAGATAATATTCTACCTCATATGTCGTTTAAGCATTGTTTCACGACATCAAATACGAGCTCTTTGCGTATTGGCTCTGAGTGAAATATTTTCTTACAGAAGTCAACATTACGACTGATCCCGATGATCCAGCATTTTTGACCTTAAGAGCATGATTGTTATCACTTTCGTAGATGCTCAGCAGGTATTGCTGCCTCTTTCTATCTTAGCCATTTAGTATCAGGAGGGAAGCGTTCTTTAAAATTTTATTTAAAAGTGTTAAATATCTTACCAAATATGTTTTACATTACTGTCCTAAGTCAAAAGTACAACTTTAAGATAACCCCATAACGCACTAGAACGGTGGTATGCTATTTAAAAATACTGCAGTTCCTTACTCTAGCTATATAGGTCTATGTTAACTAGATTAACACGTGGAATGCCAATTTTGACGTATAAAATATACTGAGCTCTAAGACATCAATTTTGAAGTTTTATGCTGATTTTTTTAATTTACTGCAAAGTATATTTCTGTTTCTGATGCTCCGTTAAGAACAACAAAATGATAACTTTTGTGATTTATAGATTTATAAGATGCTTAAGGAAATGTGGCGTAAAACTCTTTCTTGCATATCAGACAGGGTTATCTACCGTTTACACCGGTGCACGAAAATTCTATCTTACACCCCCATGTAAGACAAGTCGCGTGTTTTAAATGATGTCATTGACTGCGCGCCTTTTATGAATTTGAATTGCGTGCTTAGGATGACGTCATTTTACAGTTATGAATGAAGTTGTAACTTCATACGCTACTATAAGAAAAATTGCACTTAATGAGAATATCAGTTTTCGTAATTTCTGTTCTAAAAGTAATTGAAATGTAATATGCAAGAATAAGAATCAAACACTGGCTGTCGGTACAGAAGGGAATATCTAGCTCTCGGATAACTGTTTAGCGGAAACTCGACAGAGCCTTGTTACCGCCGTAAACAGTTACCCTCGAGCTAGATATTTATGTCTGTACCGGCAGCCAGTGTAAGATTCTTATATTCTTGCATATCAGACAGAATTATCTACCGTTTCAGCTGTGCTAGAAAACCCTGTCTTACACCCCCCTATGTAAGACAAGTCGTGTGCTTTAAATGACGTGATTGTCGCGCGCCTTTTATTAATAAATTGCGTTCTAAGGATGACGTCATTTTTCAGTTATGAATGAAGTTTGTAGGTTCATACGCTACTATAAGAAAAAAATGCGTAATGAAAATATCAGTTTTTGTAATTTCTTTTCTGAGAATAAATGACATCTAATATGCAAGAAAAGGAAAACTGGCTGTCGGTAAAGACGGGAATATCTAGCTCTCTGATAACTGTGAAGCGGAAACTCGACAGAGCCCCGTTACCGCCGTAAACAGTTACCCTCGAGCTAGATATTCCGGTCTGTACCGGCAGCAGGTCTAAGATTCTTATACGGTTAAGGGTGGTGTTATCATGATATAACGAAACCCATCTCTAAGGACTTTGTGTTAAGATGCTTGCATTATCAGACAAACTTTTTATCCAGCCCTATACACGGTGATAGGGCGATTACCACAACTTTTCCGGGCAACGTCAAAATATCTTACTTCTGTCCGAGACACCGTATATTTCTGTGGTACAAAATGGACAGCAAGCCTGTAACCAAGACGAAAACAGCAGATAATTTGCTCAAAACAAGGTAAAATCATCATTTCTTCTTTTTCATCGAATGTGCCATTTAATTTGAAACCTATTTATCTTTACTACATGCAAAATGCTTCATTAATTAAGTCAGGATAGTGAAAACATTTAGGGCATACTGAAAAAAATCTTGCTTTGATTACGAAATATAACGTATTTCTAGTCCGTTCAGTTCATATAACTGGTCAAAATACAATATAAATATGTACATTATTGTCGTATGAACAAGTTACAATACATAAATAACCCGTTTTTTTTGTATATTTGGTATGATTTTTATGTTTCCACGTGTGTATTTTAAGGCACCGCACAACTTTGTCAATCATAAGATTAGGGCACCGCATTATTCCTCCTTAAAATCACCGCATTTTTCTGTTTTTTTAGCACCGTTTATTTTTGATATTAATGTTTGCTTTCAGAAAAAGAAGACGTTCAAACCTATGTCTGAACAAGCCAAAGCAACGTGCGAAATTGGCAAAGCTGCAGATACTGCAGCAACTGGAGAGCGCCCAACTAAGTCTTCTGATATCAACAGTACGCCAATGGATCAGCCTCCCTGTATTTCAGGACGATATGCTTAACGCACCACATAAGAAAAAGAATATGAAGTCAAACTTTCGCAAAAGATTGTTTAAAAAAAGCACATTAGAGACCATGACTGAAGAGATTATGGAAATATTGCCCGGGTTCCTGCAAAAAGTACACCATAAAATTTATGTTATGACTTTTACAACTTTATCAAATTAGTATGCAATAAGAAATTCCCATTAACAAATATTTCATTCCTTTTGTTTCTCGATGTTGTTAGATGGTATAAGTCTGCCAAGAACTTCAATCTTTCCATGTGGGGTTTATCAGTTTGAATAAGTTCGAATCCTTATCTATACATACCATTGCACTTATCTAACCGGTAGTATTAACACAGATCAGACCTTCAGAAATTTTCCATAACATAACGTATGATAACAGCAACATAACATAACAGCAAGTAAACAATCTTTCATCAAATAAAACATATTTGTAAGAAGATTGTATAATTCAAAGAAGACGGTGCCAGTATGTATCGGTCTAACGGAAAAAGAATGCGGTGTTTGAATTCAGTGTTGTACGGTGCTCCAATATTCGGGTCAGTAGGCCTTTTTTCAACATATATTCAACATATATTCCCTGAAATTTACGATAGAAACACACAATTTTGTATGGGACTTGAACTTATGGTTAACCATAATAAATATACGAGCTCGTTAGGTCATAAAACAAAGACATCGTCGTTATAACACATGTTTTTGTGACAAGTACGAGTCATGTTGAGGTACACACGATCTTTTGTTAACACTATTTCTTCGAAGTATGTGTTTTTGTGTGAATTGTATTGTGCTAGATTAACGATAAATTGTCTCAAAAATTCGATGGAATACTTAAACAATTGGAATAATCTTGCAATGTCCAGCAGTAAGATATTTTGTAAGCTATTACCTGGAATTTGTTTATCCCGCCAAAAATATTTTGTCCAGAAATATACGGTGTCTCGGTCAGAAGGATGATATTTTGACGTTGCGCGGAAAAGTTGTGGTAATCGCCCTATCACCGTGCTATATAATACCACCAAACTCGTTAGTAAATAATAATCAAAGCACTGAAAGTACTGTTGGAAGGAAATTTTCATAGAAATTCCCAATACGTGTGAATTAAAAACAAATGAATATGTGCAAGCTTCAATATACAGCTAGCTGAATTTATGACGTAAAATGTGACGCCATTGTTTCTGAATTTGCACTACTCATGTCCAGTGGGCTGATAACTAGTTCTTGGCCCAGGGCCCCAAACCCTTAAGTTGTGACACTCATAATCAGTTGAAATCATAGGCAATTATGTTACTAATATAGTAATAAGTGAATTAATAGATAAAACTACTGCATTATG